TGGGATTTTTCCAGGATTTTTCCGTGTTTTGCCCGGGATTTTTTCCGGGATTTTTCTGGGATTTTTCCCGTGATTTTTTCCGTTTTTTTCCGGGATTTTCCCGTGATTTTTCCAGGATTTTTCCGTGTTTTTCCCGTGATTTTTTCCGGGATTTTCCCGTGATTTTTTCCGTATTTTCCCGTGATTTTTCCCGTGTTTTTTCCGGGATTTTTTCCAGGATTTTTCCGTGTTTTTCCCGGGATTTTTCCGGGATTTTTCCATGTTTTTCCCGCGATTTTTCCAGGATTTTTCCGTGTTTTTTCTGTGTTTTTCCGTGTTTTTCCCGGGATTTTTCCGGGATTTTTTCCAGGATTTTTCCGTTTTTTTCCGAGATTTTTTCCGGATTTTTCCCGTGTTTTCCCCGTGCTTTTCCCGGGATTTTCCCGTGATTTTTTCCGTTTTTTCCCGTGTTTTTCCCGTGTTTTTCCCGTGCTTTTCCCGTGATTTTCCCGTGTTTTTCCCGTGATTTTCCCGGGATTTTCCCGTGATTTTTTCCATGTTTTCCCGTGCTTTTCCCGGGATTTTCCCGGCCTTTCAGCGCGTCCCGCTCTCTCCTGGACCCGTCCCGCGGGCCGGTGACGTCCCGTCGTGGGTCGAGCGGCGCTAATCTGCTCCCTAAGCCGCCGAGGGCAGCGAGCGCATAAAGCAGAGAGGAATTCCGGCCCCGCCGCCCGTGGGGCTCGAGGGGGGAAGAAATGGAAACAGCTCCAGGTAGGATTGGGGGGTTTTGTTTCCCCCCCCAGCACCATGGTGGGAGGGGGAAAATCCCTTTTTTTTCCTGTTTTTCCCACGGAAAAACGACTTTGGGGTGTCCAGGAGCGGCGAGATCCCGAAAATCGGCGAGGAGCTCCCGGTTGCTGCTGCTCCTGGGTGGAAAAGTCGGTTTTTGGAAGGGTCAGAAATATCCCAGAGCTGGGGGATTTGGAGAAATTCATCCCATGGGATGGGCGGAGGTGGGGACTCGTGTGAGGCAGGAAAATCCAGGGAAAAGCGGTGGAGAATCCATAGGAAAATCCAGGGAAAAGCGGTGGAGAATCCATAGGAAAATCCAGGGAAAAGCAGTGGAGAATCCAGGGAGAAATCCAGGGAAAAGCAGTGGAGAATCCATAGGAAAATCCAGGGAAAAGCAGTGGAGAATCCAGGGAGAAATCCAGGGAAAATGAGTGGAGAATCCATAGGAAAATCCAGGGAAAAGCTGTGGAGAATCCACAGGAAAATCCAGGGAAAAGCAGTGGAGAATCCATAGGAAAATCCAGGGAAAAGCTGTGGAGAATCCATAGGAAAATCCAGGGAAAAGCAGTGGAGAATCCATAGGAAAATCCAGGGAAAAACAGTGGAGAATCCATAGGAAAATCCGGGGAAAAGCTGTGGAGAATCCAGGGAGAAATCCAGGGGAAAGCTGTGGAGAATCCAGGGAAAAGCTGTGGAGAATCCACACAAAAATCCAGGGAAAAGCAGCAGAAAATCCAGGGAAAAGCAGTGGAGAATCCACAGGAAAATCCAGGGAAAAGCAGTGGAGAATCCAGGGAAAAGCAGTGGAGAATCCAGGGAAAAGCAGTGGAGAATCCACACAAAAATCCAGGGAAAAGCAGCGGAAAATCCAGGGAAAAGCAGCGGAAAATCCAGGGAAAAGCAGTGGAGAATCCACACAAAAATCCAGGGAAAAGCAGCGGAAAATCCAGGGAAAAGCAGTGGAGAATCCAGGGAAAAGCAGTGGAGAATCCACAGGAAAATCCAGGGAAAAGCAGTGGAGAATCCAGGGAAAAGCAGCAGAAAATCCAGGGAAAAGCAGTGGAGAATCCAGGGAAAAGCAGTGGAGGAGCCCTGGACGAGGCCGGGCTTTGGGCCAGGCTCAGTCCCGGCCCTCATCTCCCAATTTTCTCCCAATTCTTTGGGAATTTCGGGTTGGAAAAGCATCCCAGGACGAGGATTCGGCGTTGGGATGGGAGGGGATTCAAACCATTCCCGTCCTGCTCCCCTGGAAGTGATCCCGAATATTCCCTGGGAATCCACTCCCAGAGTTTGCCCATCCCGAAACCCGGCTCCGGGAGATGTGGGTGCCCCTGGCGGAGCTGATTTTGGGGTGATTTTTGGGGATTTCTGTCACTTCCCCCCTTCCCCAGCAAACACCTGCTGCTTGCCGGGATTGGGGTGGAATTCCCAGGAATCCCAAAATGCCAGAGCTGGGAGAGCTGAGCCCTCCCGGCCGTCAAATCCTCCAGGTGAACAAATCCCAGGAATTTTGGCCGCCCGGCCCAACAGCTCGGGGAGGGAGGGAGGCGCAAGCCGGGAGCTGCAAGTTGGATTTATTCCCGAAATTCTGGCAGGATAAGGACAAAAAGCTTAAAAAGCTTTTTCTGTACCAGATTTCCTCCGGGATTTTGGGGCCCCGAGACCCCGAAACGAGGCCCTGGGGAGGGAGAGGAGGGAAGGATCCATTTTTTGGGGAATTTGAGCAGAGCCGGGAGCAGCAACCCCAAAACGGAGGCCAGGAATTCCAAATCCCATTTTTCCCACCCGAGGCCTCACCCAGGACACAGATTTCCAGCAAAATCCCGATTTTTTTTGTTTTATTTTTTTTTGGGGGGGGTGGTTTAGCTCATTAAATTTGAGGTTTTTTTGGGAATTTTGGGTTTGGTGAGGGGGCTGACCAGAATTTCACCCTTTTCATCCCTTTTCCGAGAACAACCCCAGGCTTAGGGAGCCTGAAACCCTCCGGGCACGGAGCCCAGCCCCAGAATTCCCGGGAATATTTAATAACCAGAGAAAGGGATTTATGGGAATGGCAGCAGGGCCGGACCTCAGGCTCTGGGCTTAAGAGCTTTAGGAGGCTCAGCCCGACGCAGAATTCCCATTTTTCCCTCATTTATCCACGGCACTTTCATTCCCTGATTTTTTAAGTGCTGCATGACCCCACTTCGTTATTCCCAGCTTGGAGAAAAAGGAGGGTTTTCCCCAAAAATTCACATTTTCCGAGGCTGGATCGTTCCTGCTGAATCGGGAAATGGAGGATTTCATTCCAAACCCCCCATTTCCATGGATTTCAGGGCTTGGGTTTCTCCCCAAATCCACCAAAACTGGGAAATTCTGCTGGAAAAAGCCCCGAGGATGGAGAGGGTTAAGAACAAATCCAACTTTTTTTTTATTTTCCTGGGAGTTCTTCACCCTCCCGTGGGCACTGGGAATGTGCTGGGTTGGAAAAGCCTTGGAGGGCGCCGTGATCCCAAAACCTTTCCCAGATTGCTTCGGAAATGCTGCCCCTTCCCAGGAAAAAAAAATGGAATTTTCCCTGCAGGAATTCCAGCTCTTTTTCCCCCAGGGAATTCAGGATGGGATTATTTGGAATTTCCCCATTCCCTTCAACATTTCCCTCCAATTTTTATCCCTTTTTCCCCCCAATCCCAACCCCGCTGGGGGATGAGCAGGATTTTCCGTGG